GAACAATAGTAACTAGGCATGTGAGTCATCCAAAGCTGTGAATTGGGTAGCAACGATGTAAACAGCGTTAGCCAAATTTGTCTATTGGCTTCATTTTTTATAGAGTCTATCCACTGATCTCATATTGACAGGATAGACCCAATTGAAAAATGAAACTGAACTAATAACAGACTGGATAGTCATGTTTGTCAGCTATTCCTGGGTAGGTAAAAGTGCCCTCACTCTCGTTGATGGTAAGCCTCGTGAGGTTACAACTGCTGGGGTGAGTACAAATGTCTGCACTACACTCCCCAATTTGTGCAACTTTCTGTATTCCCCGGCTTTCTCCACATGCAAAATTCCCCAGGCCAGCAAAAGAACAGTTCTTTTCTAGTTTTCCATGACTCAAGCATGGACAAAGTAAAAATAGGAGCTGCTATCAAAAATAACTGGCAAGCTAGTGTTGCAGTTCAGCATGAGCTCCACCTTTGAATTTACTATATGAGTAAATTCTTAAACACGTCCAAAATTATCATTATGATAAATTCGCACAACATTTTGAATTTATCATAATAATAAATTGGCACGTACTAACCCCAAACCACTAATCCCCTAACTCCTAACCGGTAATCCCTAACTCCTAACCCTAACTTTTTTAACCGTTTTAAATTTTTTTAACTTTTTTAAAAATCTAAATTTTTAAACTTTTTTGCTTTTTAAAACTCTTTTAAAACTTTTTTAAAAACTATTTTGTTGAAAATCTCTGTCTCTTACTGCAGTATTTCTGTTATTGTAGCGGTTAACAGATTATAGGGAAATACGACGACATAAGTTAAATTTCAAAACTTTTATGTGTTCATATGCAGTGAATCAAACGAAAAATGCAACCTTTGTTACAATTATTTAAAATAATACAAAAATAAAAAACAACTAAACTTTATCGCCATATTTCTCCATAATTCGGCAACCGCTACAATAATGCCAAAGTCAAAACAAAATAGTAAATGACAACAGACTACAAAAGCGGAAGTGGGAAGGTTGTAGTATTTTGACTGCAATTATGTACAAAAATATGTTGCATCCATGCTGCAAGAATTAATGTCCGACCTTTCTGGCAAAATTTCCATTTGCAGGAACAGAAAAAGATTACGAGACGAGTTGAATAAAAATTTAAAGCACCGAACACTTTTTATATACAGCCAGAGATACTGACAGCTTTGGAATTTGCTACAACCACAGAAAGTCTGCCCGATTATACCTTAAAGGTAGGTTACAGTCCTTTCTGCGCATGCGCGGGCTTTGTTTACGTTTTTTGTTTTGATTCACATTAATTATATAAGATGAAGTATATGACGAGTTCAAAGTAACATTCCACATAATTTGTAACTGAGGAGTGCAATGTTTAACAATTCTTTGCTTCATTTCTTGTACATTTCTACAATGGAAATTTTTGTACACAATAACACAATCTTATACTGTAACTGTAAACATCGTGAATAAAGTTATAAAGAGGCCGCTTTGAACGTTGTGTGACTTGCTATATCAACAGCTGGGGCGGCGAACCGAAATCCCGAAGGTGTGAGTTCGAATAATTTGTGTTTACCTTTGGAGTGTCTCATCATGAAAATATTTAATGCGGTATCAATCCCTCGAAACATGTTGCCAGTGTTGTTGTTGTCATTATGACAGAAGCGCTTGGCCTTGGGGAAAGCTTTTCGCTTGACGAAATTCGAAACAAGTGTGATTGAGAATGTGGTTGCAGTTCTTGCCTTCGTGGCAAAGTCAAGGGCGAAATATTTGAGCGCTGGGTAAACAGCTTTTGTTCAAGCTCGTGCGCGCTATGGAGATGATTTCGTTATAAACAACAAAAGAGTTCAATAGATTGACAGTGACGAGAATACGAGACGCTAAGATTATATTCAACTTTTTTGTGTTATAAATATCTATGTTTTGAAATTATGAACTGCATGGAAGTATCAATTCATTGATATTACTCTCATATTGACACTAAATGATGATATTCTTGTGACACTGAATGATCTGATAGTAATGTTAACTTAAACAATTCTGGTCAATCTAGTGATTACGTAATTAGTTCATCATGTCTCTTCAAGACAGAGGACAATTGCTAAATATATGCTTGTTTCGCTCATCAGAATGCTCAGGAAACACTGATGAAATTTTTATTTACATCAACGAATCAGTCTTTCTTTTTCTTAACAGATTTATTGGGTTATATGATAGTACAAATAATTTGTAAACAATTATTATTAAAACACATATATCCAAGGGATAGGCATGAATATGACTCAAGGGCTTGTGCCCCCCTGAAAGTACTGAATATATTGACACAAGATCAGGCAATCATAGTACAATATGAACTGGCTTGTGTTTCATATTGCTTTGTGTAGGAGGCAATCCATCTAGGAGAAAGAAAGTTCGGATTTCAAACCCCCAGATCCCACCTTGGACAATACATGTAGTGACTACATGATCATTAGAGCTTGGAAATTAGGTTAAATTCTTAAAGAAAAGCAACTCATTTTTGGTATGCGAGGTATAATTTACATGTATATACATATATATAAATTGTGCACAAATTATCTAACTAATAGCTATGTGTAAAGCTCAGTATACTGTAAACCTGCTAACACTTTATTTATCTCAATGACATTTTCAGTGTTCTGGATCATTTTCATTACTTTGTGAAGAGTTTATTTTCTTTGATTTATATACATTTTTAGATTTGATTTGTTTTCATGTGATAAAATAAAGAATAAGAACATGAAATGCTAACCTAAACAAATTCTTATTTAGGGTGTCTATTTGACTAAATAAAAAAATTTAGCCTCACATGTTCTTAAATTGTAGATTCTTATATGCAAGCTTAGGGTGAAAAAATATACTAGTAATTATTAATTGAGTTTGTTTACATCATATAAGTTTCTGTGATCAAAATGTTTTATAAACTAAATGTCTTAGGCGGTGTTTATATGGAGGCGAGCAAGCCCGGTTACCTGAGCTAATTTAATTTAATTTTTAAACGTCAATTTTTAAACCTTATACACCAAAGTGTGTTTAGTTAATCCAACTACGAATCAAATTTTATAATCGCTGACTTTTTAACAGCTATCAGCACCAAAAATTCTTACTTTTATAAATAAATAAACACTATATAGGCCTAATATTAACACTTTTTCATTGACAACTCCTACTCACGAGTATCATATCTTTAGGCCTTAATTATATGGGTTTCAGTTTGTAAATAAAAGAGAAAACAGTTCGTATGTAACGATAGTGTATAGTTTAAAGTTAGAATAGTAAATAAAGAGAATTTTATAATCATTAAAACCTCGATTGATGGGCTTCAACAAGCGATTTCACTGAAGTATCCACATGCAGTGAAGGGAGTGAATAGCAGCTATGTTGGGTGAAATGTCCAATCCTTCTTGGATTCTTTTCTTGAAAACCTTTAGTAGAAGATTGAGGATGTAGGTACATCATGGAGAAACGCAGACAGAAATGGCACGCTCTCCATCGAGGAAAACAATAAAATAGATACACTTTGATACACTTTGGAAGCATCCCTGCTAGCGTGGTATTCTTTCCTACTTGTCCTGTTGCCTCAAAAACTCGTTATTTGAAGGATTGTCGCTCAAAAAAGCTCAATATATTTTGGAAACTTTTAGCTTCACTCCTTCGCTTGCGAAAAAAACAACGCGCGTGTTATTGCCAGAAATGAGACTGGACCGAGTATAAACAGCGATGCCCAACTTCCGGTGGAGTCCCCAGGCAAAAACAATCACAGACATGCGCAGAAGGGACTGTAACCTACCTTTAAAAAATCAACTTTTATAAGATTACTCATGGGGCCACCATTTTCAAAATGTGCAGACTGTAGCTTAAATTATTTTATGCTTTACACTTTTTTCTCTCGGCAAATAAACTTTTGTTAATTTATTCGATTTTTTGTATAGGATACTGTTACTCAACAGGCGTTTTGTCCACACATCACGTCGAGTCATTGACACATTGTGCAGGTCAACTGGGTCTCAAATTGGAAACATGTGTTGGATTTAAATATCGAACCACCAATGACAATCTACCAAACTGCGAACGTTTCAAAAAAATGGAAAACTGTTCGGAATGTGCCGCAACTAGCAGCAAAAATGGAGGTTGGAAGTTCTACAAGGCGGTTCCCACTACGCAAGTAAGTATAATAGTACACGCACGCATCTTATGGAGTATAGAACAGTAATGGGCAATTCCAGCTATAGATTAAATTTTGATCTAGGAAAGAAGAACACAATCCATCAAGCGATTGTAATGTAAATCTGTATGTACATTTTGTTTCTATTTAATACCAAATATATACTAGTAATTAGTAGACAGTACAGTCTGTAGACTTAATCCACACTCAGAAATATTATGTAGATTTCAAATTTGTTCCATCGTCTTCTCTATGACATGTTAGCTTTAGATTGTTTGGTTCATTTTTATCTTTTGGTCGTATCAAACAAGCGAATTTTATGTTAATCTGTATGTACATTTAATGTAATAATTTCTATTTAATTATTACGAAATCTATATACTTGTGCTGTAGACTTGCACACTCGAAATATTATGCAGAT